AATAGTTGAATTCATAATTTAACTGAAGCTAAACCACCATGGAAAACCTAGGCACACTGGACGGCCGTTTCGTCTTAGTATGGGACTCCTCAGCAGTTCACGTCCACGATCCCGCCCTCCGCGAGATTCGAACCCAGGACTTATCGGTCTCGCGAGAGAACGCCTAACCTCTAGACCACTGAGCCGACATCCAACGGTGTTAATGTCTAACTTCAACCAATCCGCGAAATTGAGCGACACATCCACTATTGTCAGTGGATGCGCACTGCTGAGGAATCCCGTACTAGGACTAAACAAAACGTCCAGTGCTTCCAGGTTTTCCTTGGTGGTCTAGCTTTAACTGACTCATGAATTCATCTACTAACTTACTATAATATCCACAAAACCCCTATCTGATTAATGTACCAATTAAAATATGTATTTTACAATTGTTTGTATAATTTATTATATCCCATATTCATATTTGTTTAACTTTGACCTCAAACTAAAGCTCAAAGAATCTAATAAAATATGAGACAATATTAATTTAATACAATGTAAACATTTTTGGCATGTTTGACCTATAAATGAACTTTTGTTAAAATTTATACAAATATTTAAATAGGAATAATACATTAGCATCAATCGGTTCATGATCTCAATCAAAAACTTAACAATCTCCACAACCCCTAAACTGAAAATAAATGAGTATCGATTAGACATAAACTATGAAAGTCAAAATTTCTGAAAGTGAAATTTAAAGGATGAAAACATGATGTTCAGCCAAGGAATCTATTATGAATAAAATAATGAGAATATAATACATAAGTAAAGGGAGAAATGCAGAAATAATAATAAATAAAGGCCAAATTAACGATAACAATAGGATGTACTTCTTTTTTATGCATAGTTCTGGCGTGAGCTCATAGACGGTAGGGGCTCCGGCTATTTTCGGGAGCTGGATACCAAGAAATCTAGATAGATTTGAACGAATCATTTAAACAATCTTGAAATCAAACTGTAAATCAGTACAATGATTACAGTTGATTAGATGTTGAAGTATTATTATTGCTGCGTTTCTCACTTTGCTGATATCTCATATTCTGATTACTTTATTCATAATTGCTCATGACATCACTTCATACATTTCGCACCTCTATTACCTTTAATTAGCTAAAATTATTGTAACAAAACCATCTTAATAGTTGAATTCATGAGGACAGCCGTTTCGTCCTACCATGGGACTCCTCCGCAGTGCGCATCCACGATCCCACCCCCTGCGAGATCCAAACCCACGACCTATCAGTCTCGCACCAGGTGCTCAACCAACTAGACCACTGAGCCGACATCCAACGGTGTTGATGTCTAACTTCAACCAATCCACGAAGTTGTTCCACCGTATACCATTGTCTTCAGTGAGTTGATATCTCACAACAGACCTAGTTGAACTCCACTGGTAACGGCTTCTCACTGGAACTTCAGGAAATGCCTCTTAATATCAGTCACTAGTGAGCATATATATATACGATTGTACAGCTTGATAATAAATTCGTTAAAAATGGATCCCTTGGCCGAACTTCGTGTTTTTAATGTTTAAATATGAATTATCTGTCAAATTTAAAAATGTGAACATTTTTTTCCTATAATCAGTCCTAAGTAATTTAAAGCTAATAATTCTATCTTCATCATTATTCATTTAGTCTTGAATATTTAAGTCATTCATATCAGTTCGAATGTGAATCATTTCACTTGTGACATGTTGCGCATAAATATATATTGTTCATATTATATAGTAGACCCTATCTTGTGACTACGGTTACATTAATTGATTTATTTCATATTAATCACCTTATATTCAGACTATAAATAATAAACTTATCATTTGAAAATGATTAGACTATTGTACAGTGTACAATTGTTTTCGACTATATTTACTTAAAATCTATTGTATTAGTGTGTCCAGATTGCTTCATTATGATTTATGCTTTATATTTTTGACAAAAATGAATTAATATACATTTTTCATGTATGTTGAATATTATTTTATAGATTAGCTTGATTTTTAGTTTCAGACAACTACTGTTTATCTTTTATAAGTACCATAATGTTATTTAACTGAAATTTTAGATGACCGTCACCTCATAAACATTTTTTTAGTGATTAGGATATTTTAGTGTTGAACAAACAGGATAATAACAAAAATAACAATATATTTTGCTAAATACCAGTGTATAGATTGGACTTAATCCAAGAATAGCTTATGTTATACATTAATTAAAATAAGTTTATATGAATTGTGACTGACAGTAGAATGTAAGTTGAACGTTTCATTCATTTTGAATATCATTAGGTAAATTTTCAGATCCATCAAGCTATTGACTTTAAACAGACTTTGGATTGTAAAAGTGGTATGATGTTATATGTAATAACGTACGTTTTTTGTATATCAAGGACTGCTTTCTGGACTCAATGATTTGATGGAAAGCCTAATGATATTTAAAGGATTAGAGATCGAATTCGAGCTTCCATGTAGATATTAAGGGTTTAGCCTAATATATCACTTGACGAGTCGAGAGTAAGATTTTATTAAAGACAAAATGGAGACAGTCCACTCAAGATACACACATGATTATTGAAACTGGTCAACCGCAGTCCTTAAAATGTCAATAACCAGAAAAATCAAACCCATATGAATAGCTTCTATGAACATTAGTAAAACTTTCTTTGATGTTATTTATTTTATAATTTGACATCCACTTAGGTTTCTTCGAGTTATCTCTCTGAAAAGATTTACTGACTTGAGAAATAACTCTTCGTTGTTATCTAATTAAAACGAAGGGTTTAGATAAAGGATAACTGTGTTATCATACTTGACATACACTTCTTACGTTTGATTCATTTCACGATTATACGTATACACTGTTAAAGAGTTTGAGAGTAAAACATGATATCTGTTCATTACATTTTTTATATCTGACAATTATTTAGCTGATATCATTTCATAACACAAACTTTCTTCAACCTAAACCACTGAATTGAATAATTCCCCATTGTTTCATAAAAACAAATTATAATATCATCCAATTTTGTATACTATAGGTGCATTCACCCCACTAACCTTTGGTTGATGAGATCAACAAACTATTCACATTTATAAAATTCATTGATAAACAGTAAAAACATAAATGTTTTGTTTTATAGGAAATTTCTCTACTACTCAAAAGTGGTTAGTAAACATATCAACTAGCAGTGACCTTGGTAACTCAGTTTATTTTAAGACAGTTATAAAACAAAACATTTTCATTCTTATCAATAAACTCATGTCTGTATCATTCTGTTTCATAGTGTTTATAGTAGTCTAGTAGTAGTAGTAGTAGTAGTCTAAAATAGTGATAATGTAATCACCAAAGAACTTTTACAATTAAATCATTTTATTTTAATAGTCCTTTTTGGTAGACTTATCAGTGTTCTGTTGTAATATGTTATTTTGGATCATAAAACTATTGAACTGTAATTAGGTTGATGGCCGAAGACTTGAGTGAGGACAACTGGTCTATATACAATGTAGAGAAGAATTAACGAATGAATGTTAATTCACAGAAAGTATTTAGGGGTTCACAAAATAATACGCTTTCATAAAACCGATAGGTCCTGGATTCGAATTTCGCGAGGCAGGGTCGTGGTTGCGCACTCCTGAGGAGTCTCACAATAGGACGAAATGGCCGTTCAGTGCTTCAGGGTTTCCCATGGTGGTCTAGCTTCAATTGACTCATGATCTCAAATATTAAAAATTTATGTGTAAAAAGATGATGAACTACCAAGAAATACAAAGAAAACTAGTAGGAACCAATCGAAACAATGTTCTCCAGTTACAAAAGTAATTTTTTATTGAGATCATGAACCGATTGATGTTAGACCATCACTGAAAACCTAGAAGCACTGGACGGCCTTCTCGTCCTATTGCGGGACTCTTCAGCAGTGCGCACCCACGATCCCGTTCGCGGGATTCGAGCCCGGGGCCTTCAGTCTCGCGTGCAAACGCCTAACTTATTGGACCACTGAGCCCGCATCCAATGGTGTTAATGTCTAACCTCAACCAATCCACGAAGTTGCGCGACCATTAACTATTTATTACTTCAAATTAAAACTGTTCGTGATGAAAATAACCTTCAAAGAAAATTTCGATAATGTAGTAAGAAGACGAAGTTTATCAGGACGATGTGATATATTAGCGCAATACATTTCGAACAGTCTGACCACACATATACTCGTTAAGAGTATTTATGTATAAAAATAAAAGGTCAACTAGACTGGAAATGGGGCAAGAGGAGACAAGGATAATAATAATAATAATAATAATAATGTGAACATAATTTGAAACCTAATCACTGAATAATAAGCCAATATTACCAGGGTATTTTTAAGGTGAGAACAAGCTGTTTTAGTATACGCCCTTTTACTCTTTTATATAACACCACAAAAGCCGAGTTAAGATCAATGTTATGGACTTTTTCGATTACATGTTTAGCAATAGAGGATGATGGATGTTTATCCTCTACTCTTATTTGGTCATTTAATTCTATTTGCTCTTGCAACTATTTTTGTACTTGTTCACACACCCTAATTTTGTAATCACGATTGCTCCTCCCTATGTATATGTGACCACACACATACACACACACACATTTAAATTGGTAAACACAGTGGGATGTGACACAATCGTTTTCATGTCTTTTAGGCTTTGGATGAAGCATGCACTTTGTTATTTCTTTGATAATGACCTTTGCTGCACAATACGTTTTGTTGATGATTGATTTAAGCCTTTGTTTCAATTGAATCATCTCTGAATGGTAAAGTAATATAGACAGGCTTTTTTCTACCAAGGCTACAGTAGGTCTCATTGTACCATGGAATAAATCATAAAATGAAACAATCTACTTTTAGTTATGTGAAAGAGAAAATTCCTAACATAAACAATAATAAATAAATAATAACTTTGGTACCAATATTCTGTAACTTACAGAAAATGTCTAGCTCCTAATTGTTAAACATCTATACATAAAATATATATTCTTTAATGTTAGACTTTATTCTAATAATGTGTATATATAGTGTATATATAGTCAACTTAATGATTGGATAAAAATGTCAACTTATATATGGAATAAATATAAACACTATTTAATGATACTTTAAATATCAATTTGTTTTATTATCTTGTTTATTATGATACGAATATCTATATATATCAGGTATAATTTGTTTTAATATTCATAGTCATGAAATAAGTTATATATTAACTATTTAAATATCAACTAAATTATTTATGATAAATTGGTCAATTCAATGTTGTTTCGGGTATTCTTTGAAGTTATTATTTGTTTATATAATGTTGAATCAAAACTCATAGGTTAATTGATTCACTTTTTTTAGTGCTTACTTACTTATTTATGCCAGTTACTCCTTGTGAAAGAGTATAGGCCGCTCAACAGCATTCTCCATTCAACCCTGTTCTAGGCAATCCTTTCTAGCTCTTTCTAGTTGTTATTCATCCTTTTCATATTTCATTCTATTCCACGACGTAATGTGTTATTTGGCCTTTCTATTTTCCGTTTCCCTTCATGATTCCAAATTAGAGCTTGCCTCGTGATGCAGTTTGATGATTTGTGTAATGTATGTCCTATCCATTTCCATCGTCTTTTCCTAACTTCCTGTTCAACTGGAAGCTAGTTTGTTCTCTCTCACAGTTGGCTGTTTCTGATGGTTTCCGGTCAATGGATGTTGAATATTTGCGTAGACAACTATTTATAAATACTTGTACCTTGTTGATGATGATTGTAGTAGTTCTGCAAGTTTCATCTCCGTACAGTAGAACTAACTGTCTTGACGTTGGTATTGGAGATTGTGACTTTGATATTGGTTGACAGCTGTTTTTTAGTTCCATATGTTCTTCAATCGTAGGAATGCAGCCCTTGCTCTGCCGACCCACTTTTTTTAGTAGAATATTAAAATAAACAAAGTAATTATTTTGATCATTATTTTAGTCTCATAGCTCTTCAACAATATATTTTATATATTCATTTCATTTGAAATTAGTCTAAATATTGTTCTTGATTCATTTTTATAAGAAATTGAATCGCTTTAAATGTAATATTGCGATTTCTCGTTAACTGTTATCTCCATAATCATAACATATCATGATTAGGAAAGTTCAATAAAGGTTTCTCTAATTATAGTACCTAGACTATTAACAGGCCAACAGGAATGTGAACATTATTTCTGAAACTAAAAATATTTTTATCAAATAAACTAGTAAGATTATAATTTATGGATGAACCAATCAGATTTAAGATAGTGAGTCGTGGATTTTGGTGCGAAATTCATTCATTCATATGGCTAAATAGAATTTTGGAATAGCTAATATCAGTTCATTATAGAAACCCTAACTCTAATTCTTACCTTTTGCTATTAACTCTAAACCCTGATTCTGATTTTCCACACTCTTTGAACACTAGTTGATAGGTGAGTCTTTTCAAGGTTATTCTGACGTCGCTCAAATGTCGTCTATTAATCATAGTTGCATCAACAAAACTTCAAATTGAGTGGCAATTCAAAAGAAACAATACAGACCTAGTTACATATTAAAAAATAATAAACATTTTTATACACTGCTCCAGTTAAGCTGAGAGAAAAATTCCTTCATTTTCATCAACAATAGATCGGTTTATCACTTATTTTTCAGGAACTTTTGATCATAAACTTTTAAAATTCAATAATATGAAAGTTCGCCATCTTTAAAGAACAGAACAGCAAAGTAAATTTGAGAAAAAATTTTAAAAAATTTATTATGAAGATACCATGTCGAATATTCATAAAAATCTACTAAAACCAAAAATAATTGAAAAGGTTTTAGTACTCTTATAGTACAAAATCCATGATAAATTCATCAAGAATAAATGCAGTAACAAACAGACTAACTATGAGATTAAGGCAAATAACACCAATAATCTAACTGAAGAGAACATTTCATAAAAAATCCTTATGAGGTAATACGTAAAAATAATCCAACAAGTTAACTTCAGTAGTTTAGAGAAAACAACGCGAAGCCTTATTGAGTAGAACGTTTTTCTCAGAGATTTCGAAAATCATTTATTCACAAATCCCCTAGCGGTATCTCCTTTAAATTCGATATTCCCGGAAAGAGTTTTCCTACGAACTATTGGTGACCTTTGAAAGTTTAGTTCTGATTTCAAGTTTCTACAGATGAATATAATCAGCACTTGTCAAAGCTCAAGTGGTTTGTCGTTTTTTATGTGTCATTGGAGAATATTGGTCTGCTCCTTGACGATGAAGAATAAATTCTTTCTTTCTCTTTCGACTCCATGAATCAAACCTTTGATATCTCCCAACAAACTACATAAAAACTTGTAATAATTTTTTGTCATTATTATCATCATCATGACCTCCTATATAGTAAACACGTTATCTACGTTCTACGGACTACAATAGATTAAGTGTTTTCAAAAATAAGGCCTAAAATAAGTATTTTTTAAAACTATGTTTTAAAACGATGAAGTATCGATATATTATTTAGATTATTCGTATATCTCGATGGCTCCTGGATTTAACTCAAAATTGCTTGCCGTGTTTATCGAAACTTACAACCTGAATATTTTAGTTAATCAAGACAAAAAGACAAAATTAATTTATATTCAACCTCTCAAAAATAGTTCCCCTTAAATTTTACGTTTAACAACGGAACTACTTAATAAATTTAATTAGTCAAAATCTATATCTAAAATAAATCTCATTGCATAAATCCCATTTAAACGTCTTTTTAAACGTTTTTCAAAGAAAATATTCTATTCACAGGAAGGTTTTCCAGAACTTATCTGTATTCGAAGAAATAGTTAAATATGTAGAATCGGTTAAGCCAATTGTTTTAGAAGACTTGGAGATATTAGTGAATTACCAACCTGATATATTTCCAAATATTTAGAAATTAGCATTGTACCGGATAAATCATATAATTAATTCCTGAAACGGTATATGTTACTGAAAACAGTTCTGTTCTACCTTATGGAACAAACTAAAGTAGACATTTACATAATGCAATATTTGTTCAACCTTTCTTATTTTTCAACAAGTGTAACAAGTATAGAGAAAGTGAATTGAAAATTCAGATGAGACTGTAATTTATGGACGACCTTTGAGTAGCGCTAGACTGACCTTGAGAGTGTCCGCCTAGTAACTAGGACCAAATAAGGGTTATAAATTTTAATTTACATTTGATGGTTAAGGTTAGGAGATCTATTAACTTATACCTGATTTGTTCGTCCATAAATTATAGTCTCGGCAAAATTCATTTTATTTTCTCATCTAACATTATTTATGTACTTATTCTGTACATAAATTAATTCTATCTATTTTCATTAAATGGTCCATCGTAAATTAGGTTTTCACTTATTTATTTAATTTAATATTTCATGTATATATACTGAGATATACTTAAAATACATAGTTAAATATTAAGACTGTGAGATAATAAGGAGACTTTAAATTCCCCATTCTATTCTTATTACGGAATAACCGTAAATGTATGATTTATTTCCACTTTCTTAACTCACCTGACTGCATGTTTTTCTCTTTATTAATAAATTAATCTGAAGTTATTATGTACTGTATTATTTTTAATGAATTTACCTTATATCATCACCTTATAGTAAGTAATATGAATAAATAAACTGTGTTTTTGAATGAAGCTAGATAATGTAGAATGCTTGATAAACTAATTTCAAGATAACATCAAAACCTAAGATAGGACTCAGTAGCTAAGTGGACAACGCGATGGCGTTTGAAGCGAATGGTACTGGGTTCGAGTCCCAGAGTGAACATCAACTCTGAGATGCAGGTACATCCAGCTGATGAGTCCCAAATAGGACGAAACGCGCGTCCTGGATTCCACTGCTAGCCACTATCCATCATTGCTTACAAATAGCTTGTGAATTAAGGTAATATCGAGGCATACACAACGTATGTACATATGCTAATAACAGACTGATCAATTGCAGTCTTAAACCTCAATGGGAAGATACAAGCCAAACAATACCAAATGAATACTAAGATAGGATTTTTCATAAAAATGAACATACAATCAATATTTAGACTTGCTTCACAGCTTAAATTTGAAAGCTTGAATCTTCTCCAAACAAATAACCAATTGTTACACTTCTATAACAAATACCCACAGACCTAAATTATCTGTTAGTAATTGAACATACTCGTATGGTGTGTGTTACTTATATTGACATAATTAGCATATGATGTTAGTTTCGAACAGGTCTGACAGCAGAGAGACAAGTGAATCGAACAGTAAAGAATGGAAATAGGATGTAATTTGTACGAAAATGCAAGAATAATGAAGTATGAGTCATTTTGAGACAATTGGTGGACATTTTGCAATTTAAGCATTTACTTCATGATTGTTAGATTTTATTAACAAGTCCTGTAATTTTGTGCTTATTACATTCGATTGTCCCCACTGATGTATATGAATAATGGTAACCTTAAAGCAAATTATTATTAAACGACTAAATTCATTCATTTACTTAAGAATTTTATTCAGATTTCATAGGCAAGAAATTGTCATTTAATCAAGTAATTGTAGTCACCAGCTCTAGTAAATTTTGAGTATAATATTCAACATAATGATTACGGTATGATAGATTTGGAAAGAAATATCATTGTATATTCTTATACTGTTTTTTGTAATCATCAATATTTATATGATAATTAGGAGTATTTGAATTATAGTACGAACTAAGAATCCCAGAAATAAGGTAATCGGATCAAGAAGTACTCGATAAGCCCGAACGAATTTACTGTGTTTGGAATTCGAAATCAAGCATTCAACAAATGCAAAAGAATCATTAGTTCATTCAAACACCACAATTTACTATTCTTATTAAACAACTCATCTGTTATCCATTATGTTAATCTGTATTTTTTTTCTAAATCTCTTTATATACTGATTTATTTCTTTGTCAAGACATTCACCTTCCGAAATTTCTATTTGTTCCTTGAATTGTCTTCATTTAACATTTTAATTATC